AGAGAGAGAGAGAGAGAGAGAGAGAGAGAGAGAGAGAGAGAGAGAGAGAGAGAGAGAGAGAGAGAGAGAGAGAGAGAGAGAGAGAGAGACCACAAAACCGTTTTGCATTGTGAGAAGAACAAATTGACTAGTTGTGCTTATTGTGAGCAAAGTCTGCAATCCAACCAACCAGTTGCATGCAAGTCCACAATTCCAGTCATGAACAGATAATCAGTGAAGTTGATGAAATCCCAGTCGAGGTCCTGGGGCAAATGCAGCTCTTCAGAGGAAGAGCAGCACTTCAGCAGTACGGAAGGATGCTCTCAATGCACTGCGTGCTTTTTCCCACACATAAGACGTGGAAAAAACATACAGTGGACTTGTTGAAGTTGCACAACAGAGTGCCTTCAGATTTCAACCAGAGCCATTACGATCCAAGACGCGAACAAAACGGCAACAGACATACACAGAGACAAAACAACAGAAATGCAGCAAAACAACAAAAATGCAGCAAGGCAAAGGTGAAGCAAAGCAGACGTACCAACAATGTCAGTTGAAGAGACACCTTCCGTTCTCTTCACCTGCTTAAAGCGCCCCGCCTTGCGAACAGCAGCATAGGCGTCTGTGCCATCAGGCAGCAAACATGGATCATCACCATGGATAATATAGTCAATTCCATACTCCGTAAACAACTTCTGCATGAACTCCTCTGTGATTGCATATGGCGCATCCACAATGACTTCATCCACCCACTTCGTTGCCTCCACCATAACCTTCCTGCAGACGCAATTAATCATTCCATCAGGGGAATACACACCACAAACCACTCAAATGCTACAAAAGACAACAACAATAACAGCAAGGGATAATTTAACCATCCCCTACCTCAAAGAACACCATGCACCCTAAACATGGTGTCTAAGAACATCCACCCACTTCATTGCCTCAACCATAACTTTCATACGAACACAATCATGGTACTACACACCCACAACAAACCACTGAAGTGCTACAGACGGCAACAACAACAGAGAGGATAAACACAAACGCACTACCATCCTGTAGCACAAAAAACACTATAAAACAGGCATGATGTAGAAGTACAAGAGTCATCATTGAATGAATAATTCTCCTGCTTTTCTGAGGCCACTCGCCAATTGACTTGCCAGCCAAAAAATTGAGGCAAGCTGCTTACATATGCTACCGCACCCTCTGAGTTGTGCATGTAGTCCATGCACAGTGATATTTACTTTCTCCACAGATATTTCATGGAAAAAAGTGTCCACCAGTTAATTTTCCTTTATGATCCAATAATCAGCTTTAGATCAGACGAGAAAATCAGACCAGAACTTTTCTAGATAGTCAGACGAGAATGTAAGACGGAAAATGTTCTAGCTGGTTAGTTCAATAATCTCTCTCTCTCTCTCTCTCTCTCTCTCTCTCTCTCTCTCTCTCTCTCTCTCTCTCTCTCTCTCTCTCT